TACCTCCGTGAATAATCTCAGAACTTTACCTCCGTGAATAATCTCAGAACTTTACCTCCGTGAATAATCTCAGAACTTTACCTCAGTGAATAATCTCAGAACTTTACCTCTGTGAATAATCTCAGAACTTTACCTCCGTGAATAATCTCAGAATCGGACTGACGTCTAAACTAATCCCAGCAGTAAAATGTTCTCCATGAAGACGTCCCACCAGTTTAAAACTGCTGAATCCATTTCCTGCCTTCATATGAATCCCTCCTTATTTGTATTTATGTGGTCAGTGACATCCTACCGTTATATGGCGCCACCTCCTGGTGGAGATGATGTATGACATTCCTGTTGGAGCAGATTAAACATGGAAGTTTCTCCTTTTAACATTGTTTAAAAAAAGCTTACTGATTTGATCATTAAAGCTGATATTTGATCATTTTCAACATGTTCAATGTAAAAATGAAAGAATATAAAGTCTTTATCATTTTTCTGTTTGATTCCCAAAGCAAAGCAAAAAATAGACACTAACCAAAACCTGGTTGCATGAGCTGCCACATTATGAACCGCATTAGGTTAAATCATTTAACAACTTCAAAGTTAGATCTTATAACCTGAACCATTTGGAATGATCAAAATAAGCGGCTATAAACGTAGAAAAAAAATCACATTAAAGTCTAAAATCAGGCCAGACAACAATTAGCAACTTAAAAGCAGTTTTTGAGCAGAATTAATGACAAATAATTTGTTTTGTCTTTCAGACATTATTGAGAGTAAAGGAAAACGAGATCCAGTATCTTAAAAAAGAAATCAGCTGTCTGCAAAATGAAGTACACGTGCTGATGCAGGTATAACACACACACACACACACACACACATATATATATATATATATATATATATATATATATACATACATTACTAGGCAATGAGTATTTTCACCACATCATCCTTTTCATACATGTTGTTCTACTCCAAGCTGTAGAGGCTTCAAAGCCAACTACCAATTAATTAAATCAGGTGGTGAGCGTCACTGTAATGAGAAGGGGCGTGGCCTGACATTAACACCCTATTTAAGGTGTGCTTAATTATTAGGCAACTTCCTCTCCTTTGGCAAAATGTGTCAGAAAAGAGATTTGACAGACAAAGTCAAAGATTGTCAGATGTCTTTCAGCGGTTTGGTTATTGCCAAGCTTTTGAAGCGGGATCAGCGCATGATCAAGCGTTTCATGGCAAATCGCCAACAGGGTGTGTTGAAAAAAGAAAAGACAAAATACGTCCCCATGAAT